TAAAGTCTTACAATAAGTCCCTGTTTCATGGCAGTGCTGTTAGCTGGTTGTACTAAAGTCTTACAATAAGTCCCTGTTTGATGGCAGTGCTGTTAGCTGGTTGTACTAAAGTCTTACAATAAGTCCCTGTTTCATGGAAGTGCTGTTAGCTGGTTGTGCTAAAGTCTTACAATAAGTCCCTGTTTCATGGAAGTGCTGTTAGCTGGTTGTGCTAAAGTCTTACAATAAGTCCCTGTTTCATAGAAGTGCTGTTAGCTGGTTGTACTAAAGTCTTACAATAAGTCCCTGTTTCATGGAAGTGCTGTTAGCTGGTTGTACTAAAGTCTTACAATAAGTCCCTGTTTCATAGAAGTGCTGTTAGCTGGTTGTGCTAAAGTCTTACAATAAGTCCCTGTTTCATGGCAGTGCTGTTAGCTGGTTGTACTAAAGTCTTACAATAAGTCCCTGTTTGATGGCAGTGCTGTTAGCTGGTTGTACTAAAGTCTTACAATAAGTCCTTGTTTGATGGCAGTGCTGTTAGCTGGTTGTGCTAAAGTCTTACAATAAGTCCCTGTTTCATGGCAGTGCTGTTAGCTGGTTGCACCAAAGTCTTACAATAAGTCCCTGTTTGATGGCAGTGCTGTTAGCTGGTTGTACTAAAGTCTTACAATAAGTCCCTGTTTGATGGCAGTGCTGATAGCTGGTTGTGCTAAAGTCTGACAATAAGTTCCTGTTTTCTGGCAGTGCTGTTAGCTGGTTGTGATAAAATCTTACAACCACTATCTGCCCTGTCTGAAAATCAGTGGGCTAAATGCATCTTTCAAACAAATGACTTAGGTAGTTATATTGCCCAGCATAGAGGCATATTTTTAAAAGTTGTGTCACCAATATCAAACATGGATATTAATTACGACATGAAAATAAAAATAGAAACAATGGAAATGAAATGTCTATGGCAAATCCTAAATTTAACAAGAAAAGACAGGATCAGAAATATCAATAGCATGAAGACAAGTGGGGATGGAACCCAATGCTAAACTACATCAAAAGACAACACATCAGACGTGGAAAAACTACCACAAGAAAATATACCACAGAGAGCAATGCCAGAGTTTTTCCAAGTTATGGATAAATGCAATATCCAAAGAAGTTATACCAGCATCTACATAGCACACAGCAAGACTCACTTCAGATCCCTTTTTAAAAAAATGACACTGAGAGACAGAAGAGGGTCTTGCTAACTCTGCTGCATGTGGTTGTGGCTCCCCAGAACAAACACACCCCCCCCCCCCCCCCCCCCCCCCCCCCCCCCCCCCCCCCCCCCCCCCCCCCCCCACCCCCCCCCCCCCCCCCCCCCCCCCCCCCCCCCCCACCCCCCCCCCCCCCCCCCCCCACCAGAGTATGTCTTACAGGACTGCCCAGACTTTGCCAGTCACAGAGAAAAAATCTGGCCTCCAGGAGCATCTCCATAAGATAAACTATGGGGCACCTGTGAATATCTCGAGCGTACCGTCCTGTTTATGATCTACACTGCAATAGATCCAAAGCAAACACTGACCGCCAAAGAAGAAGAATAACTGAACACAAGTGGTCCAGTCAGTTCCCATAACCCAGAAATGCTTTCTAAGCCACTGCATGAATTCATTCAGGCAGATTATGCCAGGCTTGTCTCAAAGACAATGGCTGGAGTTTTAGAGGTCACAGCTACACAAGTGGTCCAGTCAGTTCCCATAACCCAGTGATGCTAACTAAGCTACTGACTGGAGTCTTAGAGGTCTGGGCTACCAATAATAAGTTTCAACTGTCTGCCAAGGCATGCAGGTGTAAGAGGAAATGAACAAGCTGACGGGTTTGCTGGTGGGCTTACTGTGAGAAGAAGATGAATGATGGACCGCACCTTTTCAGCTTGAGGTGGATACCTTTAAGCCCCTCACTTCCAATTTGTGCCTGTTGTACTTAACTAAAATTATACAAGTTATGTAAAAGAACCTTTTCCACACCTTCAGGTGTACAGAGCATAGACGGTTAGACCTACATTTTATAGACTTATCGGCACTTGGCAGGTAATTTGGCCACCTTTACCTTCCAACACTTTACCCAGTATCCATTTAACTTTTTGAGTCCCAAGGAATGCATAATACGTTCATAGATTCCTATCTAGAAGACCAATGAACGCATGATGCACCGATTTTATGTCTCTCTTGACTACCCCTTGTGCCTGTGATGCTAAACTCTCTGGGACTCAAGGAGTTAAACTCTTTACATATACTAAGAGTCATATCTGATAAATAAAACAAAGTTTAAGAGAAATAACAATAATAATAAAATAATAATAATAATAGTTGAGCTGAGTTGAGTCAAGAATTGACGTCACAGCATTCGGGGCATTCCCCTGCATGCTCCGCCCTCATCTTCAGCAGCCAGCACAGAGTTCCAATACTGATGGTACCGTTCTGGTTATATGTCCGTCTTGCAATTCCTCTGAATGTAGTGAGCTGGCCAGACCCTCTGGTTACACCCAGGTGCCTCATTCTCTCCAGGCCATATTAATCTTCGATCTCTAATGTTTCTGTTGCTTGTTCCCAAAGGGCCTTGACCACATCTGCCTTGTCGTGTATAATAATAAGGTAACAACATATCCTTTATAGGATGTCGCCAACCATGCCCAGGTCAATGTTCAAGCAATGTCTCAATGCAAAATGGTCTGTTGCCAAACCACCTGCAGCTGAATGAAATCCGGAATGTAGGAATTGTGAAACCGTGTTCATAAACCCTAGGCCACAGATGAAGACGAGATAATGCCAACCTTTCATAAAGCAAACTGGTGAACTTAAAATTGCCTATTTTAATATAAATCATCAAGAAATTATGGGGTTTATCTGTCAAGGATACACAGCTATAGTTAAACCAACAAAAAAAAAAATAAATAATGGCATGACCGGTCATCATTTATTGGCAGTGCAGGAAGCTGGTTATGTAGAACATCCATCACTACCACGTCCCACAGTGCCAGAAAATCTATCTGATCAAATACATCCTATGGAAGCCCAGTTTGGTTATTTTCACAAATACAGATGTGGATAAAAATTACAAACTGACAATTTTTTTCTTTTGCCTATACAAAAAAAAAAAAAAATTCTTGCTTGCTACATACATCCAGTTTTATTTAACATAAGGCTGTGAACCCTGGACAATCGGTAGGCAGGCCAAACAATTTCTTGAGGCCTCAGAGATGTGGTTTAACAGAAGAATGCTTAGAATACCTTGGACAGCCAAAAAGAGCAACCAAGAGGTTTTGAAAGAGGCGGGAGCCTGAAGACAACTTATCACAGACATCAGAAGGAGACAGTCATCATTTTTTCGGCCATGTTATGAGAAGAGGGAAAATAGAACATGTTGTGACCACTGGAAATATTTGTGGAAGGAGGGATAGAGGAAGACAACGAGAGAAGATTCTTGACAGTCTTGTTGCATGGCATGGAGGTGTGTCAGCACACGAACTGATACATGCTGCAGGAGATCGTGGATTATGGAGAGGCATGATTGCCCACGCCAGTTTGCAAGGCACCTGATAATACTAAAAAAGGTCAAAGTCTGACTTCACTGCATCAGGTTCTATCCCATAGGGCTTGGTCTCTCTCCTCGTGTGTGCATGCATGTTACCACCCACGCTCTTGTGTTTTTTTTTTCCAATGATGCATATTATTATATAAACATAACAAGCTTTAATGATAAAATACAACTGCTGTGTGAAAAATTGGTGTCTGAAAGGGCCGAATGTAAGACGGGCCTGTGTGTCCAATTTGTGACCCTTTGAAAAAAAAAGTTTGTTTGTTCGTTTCACAGAACAGCTAGCTGCCTGATGAGAGCGCTGCGCAGAGCATGAACTCTGTAGCTCCGGCGATGATCTCCGGGAATCTCCGTAAAAAATGCACTTGTGAACTGAAGGGCGCAGCCATGGAATGAACTCAGACCTTCACAGCACGAGGCAATGAGTTACTGAGCTGAGTAGATGCGAGTTATGTACCGACATCACAACACTGGGCATTCCCATAAGTGCTCAGTCACAATCTTCAGCAGCCAGCCCAAAGTTCCAGTTCCAATGATACCAGTAACAATCAGATTATGCGTCCATTCCCATAAGTGCTCATCCCCAATCTTCAGCAGCCAGCCCAAAGTTCCAGTTCCAATGATACCAGTAGCAATCAGATTATGTGTCCATCTATCTTTTATCGGCTCTCCATATCCTAACTATCTATTCCAACTTCCACACTATTTACTTTCTCCAAAAGCACCTTCAAACCACATCTAGCATGACAAGGATCAATACACCACTTAGCTGTGCAGAAATGAGCCAGTCTGTCAGCTTATTTGTTTCCTAACACACTTGCATCACCCGAAGAAAAGATCTAAAGGATATTTTAACACTACAGAACAATGTGTAAACAGGGGTAAACAGACCAATGCACCTTAACAAGAATGACGGAAAAGGTAACTACAATGTCAGGGTTTACTGATAATCAGATGTACTGAGCCCAAAAGTGCAGATATTGCAGCTTAGCTAAAAACCACTACACAGGGGGTGCAAAACAAATTAAACATGACTAGCCAGGAAGGTAACAGTAATGCAAAATTTAAACCAAAAAATGCAGTGCAGGAAAAGCTATTTTGAAACAAAACAACAAAGCAACAGGAAAAGGCAGGAAAGGAAGGGGGGGGGGGGGGGGAATATAAACTTTAGAGATTTAAAATAAAAAATAAAATTTACCAAAAAAAAAAAATAATTCTATATTTTTTTGGTATACTCATTTTTGAGTGCGCGTATGAGTGAGTGAGAGTGAGAGAGAGAGAGAGAGTGAGTGTGAGTGTGTGAGAGAGAGAGAGAGAGAGAGAGAGAGAGAGAGAGAGAGAGAGAGAGAGAGAGAGAGAGAGAGAGAGAGAGAGAGAGAGATCTAGAAAAACTCATTAATAACAAATAGAGAAAAAAACAGAATTAGGAAACCAAGATAAATAATACTTACTTTTTGAAGAACCCAACTCTGGAACAACAACGTTTCATTCACACCTTCTTCTTTCCCTGTACTGATCAATGGATCCTCATCAGAGAAGATTGCCCGGAACTGAGTCATAATGTCAAACAGGTGTACACGGCTGACTTCAATGGTTTTTGTGATGTGTGTGTACGCTGGAAAATCATTATTTACTAGTTACTGTGGGTGCAGAGTCATCACCACAAATAGTACAGACATCTTGTTCTTTTGTGCTGATTCTTCTCAGAAGGTGACTGACTTATTGTATTGTGATTATTTGTATGTGCAAATAATGACCTATTTTAACTGCTGCTTCCGTCGAAGATGAACTGCATTTCCAGTGTCAGACTGTTGGTGTTGGCACTTCTGATGACTGCCTTAGTGTGTGTGTGTGTGTGTAAGCATGTGGCGCGTGCGCGCAAGCTTTTAAATTTGCTGAGACTGCAGTGTCAATTTCTTTCACAAAGTATAGTTTCTCCATGTGGGTTCCGGGGTAATATTATAGGGAAAACAAGAACAGACCCACTGCTTACCCAAAAGCATGGTGTAAAAGCAGATTAACTGGGAGCTTCCTTTTAAGTCAGAGTGCATCTACCTGAGAGGCAAGGAACCAACAGTCTGCATACAAATGAGTCAGATATGTAAAATGCATACGCACATAACACTCAGGTTCTGGAACAAGAATGCAGTTCAGAAGTGGACGAACAACCAGAACTTTCTACCAGAGTTTACAGCTGGTAAATGCCTCTAAATGTGTTGGAATATCAGATAAATTTGACTGAAAAGCTCAACAAAATGGGGAAGCTGAAAAATGTGCACAAAACAACACAACGTAACATTTCAGCTGGGCAGCCTTTTTCAAACATAAGTGAACTACACAAACGTAACAACGAGGAGAGGAGAGTATGTAGATCTCTAAATGTGTTGTATTAAGTCGTTGAATACACATGGTAATTTTAGTAACTTCTTCTTCTTCTTCTTCTTTGTGCACCAGCTGTAAGCAAAGGCAGACATTCCTGGTTGTTCATCTATCTGAACTTTGGCTTTGTGCCAGGGCTAAGGCCTTTGATATTACATCAGTTTTGCTGGTTTATTTGTGTGCTGTTGGTTGTTCCTTTCCGCTCAGGCCGATGCACTCTGACTTTGAAGGAAGCCCACAATTAGTCAACTCCTATGACATGCTTGTTGGGAAGGCAGTGTGTCTATTCTTGTTTCCCCCCACACTGGGTTCCAGAACCCATACTGGGAAATTATATTATCAAGTGAATTCTCTGATAGATCATGTAATAGGTGTATGAAGCCTTCACATATGCAAGATCACTGCATAAACAAGTGCAGTGACCTGTTCTTATCCTTCGCCACCTTTATGTTCCCAACAAGTTATAGAAAATTGACCTCAGATGCCTATTTCTGCTCGGGATTAAACTGAGACTTGTGCTGTACACTAACATGTTAACGAAGTATCATCATAGTATGAAAATTACTGGTGGTCTATATGGTGGATAGGCGGGTATACTGTTTTCAGCTGACACACGTTTTTGCTTCTGACAATGGTTAACTGCTACATTTTCCTCCATATGTAGACTGAAAAGATATAGTTCTGTCACCCAGCTACTGAGCTGAGAAAATGGTGACAGTGTGGAGAGACGCAGACTCCATTTGGAATGCTTTTGAAATGTGCCCAAAGTGGTCTGTGTTTTGAACTACAGATTCAGAAAATGCCTGTTGCCAGAGAACATGTGCTGCCTTATGCGACTAATCAAGTGTGCAACTCCTGATCTGCTGACACTGTATTTTTAGCATCAGCCTGTTTGTGCTGGCACTTCTGGCTGCTGCCTTGTGCATTTAATGCCATGTGTATGCTGTTGGATTTACTAAGACTACAGTCTGTGTCAATACTTTCCACAAGTGACAGTGATGGACATATTGGGTGGTTTTCATTGGCCCAGGAAGGGAGCAAAAATGGAATGACCCGTTTGCTATGACACTGGAACTGCAACTACATAACTGCTATAAAAAAAACAGGCAAACAGACTGGCTGGATCAGCACCACTGGGTGGTGAATTGATACATGACAAGGCAGATGTGGTCAACGCCCTTTGGGAACAAGTTACAAAGTCAGAAGAGAAACATGATTATTATGGCCTGGGGAGAATGATGCCCCTGGGTGTGACCAGAGGGTCTGGCTTGCTCACTAAACTCAAAGGAAAGGCAAGACAGACATATAACCAGACTACAACCGGTACCATTAGTTTTGGAACTTTGCACTGGCTGCTGAAGATTAGAATGGAGCGCATATGGGACTGCCCAGAGTGCTGTGATTTATATTTTCAACTCAATTATAACAAAAACAACACTCAATACTTACCATCTCCTTTAGGTATGGCATCCAAAATACTCTGAAACCAGGAGTCTCTGGCCTGAAAAATGCAAGCATAAGAAAGAACTTAATGTGATGTGCATGAAATTATTTACATGTCAAAGATTTAAACAGGATATAAGAGCTTTTCTTGTGCGATACTTCAGAAGGTTATGTATGTTCACAGCATGAGATGGTAGAGGTGAGAGGATCGACTTCATTGCACTGAATTTTATCCCATATGGCTCAGTCTCTCTCCGCAGAACAGCTAGCTGTCTGCAGAGCACGACCTCTGTAGCTCCGGCAACAATCCCTAGAGATCTCCGTAAAAAAACGGCACCCTTGAATTGAATGGCGCAGATCGCATAACGAATCCATGACCTTCAGAGTACCAGGCAAACAGCTTGACCATTTCGCCACAGAGACCCTTTTCATAGCATGAAAATCAGTGTCATTATTTTAAGGTGCCTTGTTGACTAGCATGGGTGATCACAACATTCTACAACTTGCAATAATCCAACAGAATGCAACAGTTCATGAGCTGAACACTTTTCCATGCTAGGCCAAAAGGGTGTCAAGAAATCTTCTCCTATTGTCTTCCTCTATCTCTCTCCACAAAACTTTCCAGTTGTCACAACATGTTCCAGTTTCTTTCTTCTCATAATGTGGCCCCCAAAAAATGATGGCTGTTTCTTTTGGACATTTGTGATTAGCTGTCTTCAAGCCCTTCCCTCTTTCAAATCACCTGGATTACTCATTCGGCCTGTCTAAGGAATTGTAGGCATTATTTTGTAAAACCAAATCTCGGAAGTCTCAAGAAACTGGCTTATTTACTTTCAGGATCTTTAAAACTGGCTCTACACGCTAGGCAAGCATTCTTTTTCTAACCTTCCATAACGTGGATTTAACTACTGCTTGGTAATCTTAGTTTTAGCTTTATTGCAAACAGATCAGCCCATAGTTGCTCCGCTCCTGTGCCAATGAAAAACACACCGAATTTTCATAACAGTTTCTTGTGGAAAGATTGACAGACTGCTGTCTCAGCATGTGCACTAGCATACACATGCATTAAAAGCATATGGTAGCCATCAGAAAGGCTAACACAAACAGTCTGGCATTAGAAATAAAGTTCATCTTCTACGGTAGCAGAAGTTACCAACAGATCAGCAGTTGCACACGCGATCAATTTTAATCACATGAGGGCACCACCAATATTACGACGACAGGCCACACGTTGTTTTCTGAATCAACAATTCATATGCGCTCGCACGCATGCACACACACACACACACCGACTAACAGAAAAATATACATACAATCAAGTAAGGAGACATACAGACATACATACAAACAGACATACTGATGGACAGACAGGTGATAACAGACTAATAAATAAACAGAGATGAATCAATGGAAGGATGCATTTATCAACAGACAGACATACCTTATGTAGGATGAACATAATTTATATCACTGATATATTCAGAGCAATATGCAGCCATAGATTTCCCTAGAATCATTATCATCATCATCTTCTGTGCCAATTAGCCTAGGCTATAATATGTCGTCATCTCACATGATCATCAGAATCACGGATCAGGACAATGTTTTTGTCTCGCCCCATCCAAGTATTTATCTCTTTGCCCCCCTCTTGCTCTCACTCTATCAATCTTGCTAGTTTGTTGCTAAGTTCTCCAGTCCATTCCTTCTGATAACACATGTCCCAAAAAACACCAACTGCCTAGAATTTAGTAAAGAGAATTTATTCCACAAAGACAATTTTAGGTCTCACCTGAAGAAATTTGATCCTGAGCTCTGCTTCAGTGAACACATCCATTCGGCGAAGAAAGCCAATGACTCGCAGGCAAGCTGGCAGCTGCAAGTTGGACCTCAGCTGTTGAATCAGCTGGTTCAACATCAGCTGTGTGGAAACCTTCACCTCTTGAACAATGCCCTAGCAACAGGTAAACAGAGACAGAGAAATAACATTTATCTTTACACGCTGGAAAACAGCATCACTTTAAATCAGTGCTCTGCAACTTTTCTGAGGCAATGCTCCCTTGAGCATATGGCCAGAAGCCTCTCCCCTCCCTTACCCAACCAAAACAAAATGTGATTAAAGCGAGGAGGACAACAACTAAAAATCCAAAGCCTTGTTAACAAGAACTTGGAGAAAAACATCCGGTACAACTCAGTTTTCTGGACCCTGCCCGCCAATTTACACACTGCAAAGAATTTTATTTATACAGGACCAGTCTAGTCGACTTCTGCAAAGGTGAGAGGGGTGTCGCAGTGGCTGTGTCTGATCAGCGTCATTTTATGACACAAATTTATGACCTTAGGACATCCAGAACTCAGTCTCCCGTGACGAGACCTCTATACTAAAGCAAGTTAGCGATTTTAACAACCGCATAAAATCGGCTGCTGGGCCTAATCCAAACCCCTAGGTCCCAGGAGACAGTGTATTCTAGGTGTCGCTGCAGATACGGAACTGTACCATCTGCAGTAAACTCATTGCCGTCAGAGCTGATAACCCCAGCAGATTCATATTGTGGTTGTTGAATTACCAAATGCCACAATATCCCCAGTTATGTAAGAATAGTGCCTAAAAACTAATAAAGCCAGTAACTTCCTGTGCTCCAAAATATACGCAAGAGAGACATCGGACACCACTGGCATTTTCAATTCAGCGTCTGACAGCTTAAGGTGGAGACTCACCACCCAATCACAGTCTCTTATCCCGCGTCTGTCATTCATATGTGTGTAGGTGGGCGGAGCCAGGACCCAGAAAATTTAGTTGTACCAAACATCCACATAAATCCAAGTGTCAAACATCAAAGAAAGAAAATCACTGACAACTAGTAATTTAGTGTCCAAACATCAATGTAAAGGTTGACACTGTTTTGTCTTGAGGATATCTGCTATTTTTTGGTTTAATGTTGGACATGGCACAATAGGGAACACTCTCCACACCAAGCTGGTAGCAATGTTTTATTTTCATTTGAGGTTTAAACAACGGATCAACATTCATGGCACATGGGTAGTAACAAATAAGTGCTCCGTTCTTCTTCTAACTCAAATCCGAGCCCAAAGAAGTTCAGCACAGTGCACAGGCTCTGTAGCGAGGATCCTGAAATACTTTGGGTAGATTTTTAACTTAAAAGTTTGCCCCGGCAGCGCCAGTAGGCTTCTCTTTTCGATTTCCAACTGCCAAGGGATTTTTTACATGAGCAACACTGCACACAGGTGTTTGATCTCACTACCCAGAGACCAGGGGGAATTACTATAAGTCCAAGTCCAGGTGAAAAAAATCCCAGCACTTACCAGGGACTGAACCTGGGACTTCTAGCACTCGAGGCGGACACCATGCTTTAAGACCATGCAGCATCAACATAAATCAAAGTGTCAAACATAAAAAAAAGAAAGAAAATCACTGACAACTAGTAATTTAGTGTCCAAACAACAATATAATGGTTGACACTGTTTTGTCTTGAATATATCTGCTATTTTTGGTTTAATGTTGGACAAGGCACAATAGAGAACACTCTCCACACCAAGCTGGTAGAGCTGTTTTCTTTTCAAGGCAATTAAAGCTGAAAATCTGGATTATTACAAGTACAAATGAACTCAAATATAAAACTGCTAGATGCTCCTCCTTGCGACCCCTAGAGCCCTCCGCCCTTCCCTGTTGAAGACCACTGCTTTAAATCAACCAGGTGCTGTCTCCATAAAAAAAGACTGGCTGCAATGCATCTTCATCTTTCTCTTCTTAGCGTTCACAGGCTGTAAATTCAGCCATAAAGTTCTGGTTGTTCAACCACTTCTGGACTTTGGTCTTGTTCTGGAACTTCAGTTTCACCTACACATCCGTTTTACAGAACTGGCTCATTCTGTTTGCAGACTGCTGGATTCTTGCCTCTCAGGCAGATGCGTTCCGGCTTTGAAGGAAGCAGTGCATCTTCAACACATTCTCACCTTTTCCTTGGCTGAGGGTAGGGCCCTAATCTCTCGCAATCTCTTCCCTAATCTACTGTCAGAAAGCCAGAAGAACTGTGTTGTTTTTTTTTTTTTTACAGTTCACCATGGAAACTGAACTCTTGTACTCGAGTAGCATTCAATAGCCTCTGACAGACCTACATTTCTTTATAGACCAATCTGCACTCAATGAGTTATGGGTTAAAGTCAACAGGATTGACTTCACTGCACCGGGTTGGATCTCATATGGTTCAGTCTCTCTTCCTGAGAACAGCTAGTTGCTAGCTAAAAGCATGAACACTGTAGCATCAGTGAAGATCTCCAGGGATCCATGAAAAAGTTGCACTCGTGAACCAAACAATACAATCCGTGAAATGAACCCACAACTTTCCTAACATGAGACAAATGGGCTCTCCTTTAAATACCAATCGTTAGCTGGACAGCCGACGGTCGCTTAGTGGGAGTTCACTCCCTTGGCTGCATTGCAAATACGGAGCGGGAAAAGTCACGAATCAACACAGACAGTGAGGTCGACATCAGGGCTGCCAATGCTTCGGTGTTTCCCCCAGATCTGGGTGTTTATTTGACGCCTTGGGGAAATCTGGGTTTTTTTTAAGTAAATATATCCATATATATATATGTGCTATTAGTTGCCACGGATGTGACTCCTGCAGATCTGTATGCCTTAATGACCGATAAATTTGTGTGGTTAGGGGTAGGGTTAGGGTTAGATGTGACACTTTTAGTCACTTTTGTTTTTTTAGGACGCTTCGCCATCAATTGGGCACCAGTCGCTCGCTATTGCCGTCATATTTAGGAGATTTCCAGTGGCGCCACTCCCACAAGCATCACATTGTCGGCCATTATTTGGAACTCCTACGTCAAAATTTTCACATCTAACCCTAACCCTACCGCTAACCCCACTCCCTACGCAACCGTATGATGATAGGTAAGTATGTCATTTATCCCTCTGTATGGTCCGTATTTGCACTGCAACCAAGGGAGTGAACTCCCACTACGTGACCGTCGGCTTTTCAGCTAACGATCGGTATTTAAAGGAGAGCTGATAAATGGCTTCAGCATAGAGTCCATTTCCCCCCCCCCCCCCCCACCGAAATGGGCGATGTGGTCAACATCCAGCTAGCCACCTTCACTTCATCCTATTTTAGTTGAGGTTGACCTGGAAGCCCAAAGTCTACTTTCAAAGTCTGCTTTCAAAGTCTACTTTCAAAGTCTACCCTAGTTCACATTCTAAAAAATAAACTGACAGCCCTATAAATAATGTTAGGCAATTATTTTACTTTTTGCTGAAGCCAGGAGAAAGGCCAAAGGTGCTGGACCAGATTCCATCCATGATACCCGAAACAACTGCACAGGAGAGAACCGAATGGGAGCCCTATGTGACAGATAACGGAACAAAAAGGATGATGACAATGATGAAGCTACTGAAACCTTAGCACCCTAATCTTCTTTCTTTTTCGTGTTCCCTGGCGTAAACTCTGGTGGAAAGTTCTGGTGGTTCATTCACCTCTGGACTTTAGACTTGTTCCAGAACCTGAGTGTCGCGTGCACATCCTTTTTACAAATCTGACTTATTTGTATGCAGACTGTTGGTTCCTTGCCACTCAGGCAGATGCACTCTTACTTCGAAGGAAACCCCCAATTAGTCAACTCTTACAGCATGCTTGTTGAGGAGGCAGTGGGTCTGTTCTTGTTTTCCCCACAATAGGACCCCGGAACCCACACGGGGAGAAACACCTTAATGATGATGCTGCCATAACTATACCCATCACCACCACTATACATCTTTCCCAACATAACAACAACAAAACACAATACTCACAGCAATAACAGGAATGTTTGGGTGCTTCTTCTCAAGCCTCTTAACATGAGCCGCCAGTTCCAGGGCCTCCTCGTAGTAGCCGTTCCGCACGCAGGTATCCATCAACTGGGGCATCTCTAGCACCTCCAGGAGTTGTGTATGTCTCTGCAGAGTCAACGTGTTCATACGCCGGCTGTCATGAAGACACACAGAGAAAAAGATCTCATTTCATGCCAGCAGCACACGAGGCATGTTGAATTAAGAATCCACATCACAGCACTCGGGACACTCCAATAAGTGCTCCATTCCCCATCTTTAGCAGTAAGCGAAGAACATCAGGTATATGATGCTAGAGTCATAGTTGTATAGACCAACTGGTACTCAGTGGGTGATGTCATTAACATCAAGCCAGCCACCTTTACTTCCCAGAACTTTACCTGGTATTTATTATCAAAAATGCACCAGTATGAATTAGAAAAAAACACTATAACAGCGACTGTAACTAACAGCAACTTAAATAACAGCAACAGAAACTAGTAGCAACTGCAACTAACAGAAACCAGCAACAGAAACTAACAAACAGCAACAGTAATTAACAGAAACTAACTGTAACTAACAGCAACAGAAACTAATAGCAACTGTAACTAACAGCAACAGAAACCAACAAACAGCAACAGTAATTGACAGAAACTACCAGCAACAGAAACTAACAGCAACCAAAACTAACAACAGCAGAAACTAACAGCAACTGTAAGTGACCAGCAGCAACTTACCTGGAGCTAATCTCCTGTGCCTTCTGAATGACTTTGCCACATTCTTGAGAAAACTGTGGTAACTTATCCAGCAGACTCTCCAGATGCTGCTCTATGATCTGAAACTGGTGAACGAAGCAACTTGCTGATAAACTGTGCAATAGATAGCCACGTTACTGCATCTGGATACGTTAGTTAAGTGATTTTGTGTATTTGTGAGGTTTGGTTTGACTTATGTATGTGCTGATGAAGGCTCTATAGCCGCAATGTTCATGTTTTGTATGTGTTTGTTGTACTGTGAAGCTCGCTGATATATATTTATTGTTCGGTTTTATATCTTTTCCTTATAAAATGAGCGAAGAGTCACTCGTTATGAAATGTGTGAAGAGTCACTAGTTATAAAATGTGTGAAGGATCACTGCATTTAAAATGTGTGAAGAGTCACTAGTTATGAAATGTGTGAAGAGTCACTATTTATAAAACGTGTGAAGAGTCACTGGTTATAAAATGTGTGAAGAGTCACTGGTTATAAAATGTGTGTACAGTCACTGGTTATAAAACGTGTGAAGAGTCACTGGTTATAAAATGTGTGAAGAGTCATTGGTTATAAAATGTGTGAAGAGTCACTGGTTATAAAATGTGTGAAGAGTCACTGGTTATAAAACGTGTGAAGAGTCACTGGTTATAAAATGTGTGAAGAGCCACTGGTTATAAAACGTGTGAAGAGCCACTGGTTATAAAATGTGTGAAGAGCCACTGGTTATAAAATGTGTGAAGAGTCACTGGTTATAAAATGTGTGAAGAGGCACTGGTTATAAAATTTGTGAAGAGCCACTGCTGGTATGATGTTTTCAGATTCACATTTGTACAAGATTTAAAGGGTAACTACATTGAAAATGCATAAAGGGACACTGGCTGAAAAATGTGTAAAGTCATTACCTTAATGTGGATTCAAACCTAAGAACTTTGGGCCAGTAGGCGAGTGCCTAGCCACTACCACAAAGCAACTATACAGCATTCTGCATGAATTAAGTTTTCTTTGGAGGCATGCCACTTCCGAAGCAACAGTTCTTATTTCACCTTGTCAGGGACCTACTTTACTAATTTATTTCCTATGGCTCGCTAGGTAGGCCAGCTAACAGACTTCACTACCCTACGACACATTTAAGACACACACCTGCTGAGTACAAACATAATCTTTAATGTACAACGAACAATACAACTTATAACACCTCAACCAAGTTGGCAGTCCTTATCCAAAACGCCGGCGTTGAGCAGCTTTTACATTCACTGGTCAACCCGAGCCGTTCCCATGGATCCCCAAGAACACTATTCCAAACTAACAGTTTAACAGTGCTGACTAAGCCGTCGTCAATTGCCACGCGGGACTCAGTGACACACGTAAGGTGTACGGCCTAAGTGTGACTGGGCAGTGTTAACGCCATTAACAATGCGTGTCGCACATTCACTAGCTGCTTAACAAATACTGTGTGAAACGTCTACTATACAAGAAACATTAACTCTACACTATTTTGTCGAAACATTATATGGAAACACAGCCTATCTCAAAAATACTAACCACAAATACTATTCAATCTAGTCGTCACTAAACTAAGATACGTTTACCGGTCGTAGCACGTCTGGTCCAGTCCGGTCTCTACTACACCACTCCCCCGAGCCAGGTCTCCAAGCCTTTTTGTTCCCCTCCCGAGTTCATCTCTCGACATGCGGTAATATGTGTTAACCGTGGGACCAGGGCTTCACCAGTTAACTTGACCCAGTTTATTCCGTGGTCAAGCTGCCCAGCCTCACACTGAGTTTTACTGAGGGTCAGCTCGTTCATACGTGATGATTGACTATCATCAACTCCGTTCATCCCGCAGCCAAACTGGCCTCTGACACACCTATTGCTGCAATTGTTCAGCGCTGATAACATTCAAGTAAAGGACCTTAATCCAAGCCTTCATGGATATTGGGCATACAGGGCTTGACCTATATTTTACTGACCAATTAACACCCAGTGTGTGATGTGGTCAACATCATGCCAGCCGCCTTTACTTCTCAGGACATTACCCGGCACTCATTTAGAGCTAGGTCTACTTGGGAGCCATAGTCATATTTTAAAACAAGTCCAGCTCAGTTTGAATTCTGACCTATGACCTTTAGATTTGCAGGTGAGCACATGGCTGGTACACCATGGCAGCTCCATCCTGACAGCATAATGCTGACCAAACACAAAAAAAAGACCCGTGGTCATTCTTTCAGTGCCAGTCAGTTCTTAACCATGTTGCCTTAAGAAGGTGAAACCTAGTCACTACCGACTGAGGTTTGAGGTTTGAATAACAGATCAACATCATGGCACATGGGAAGTAACCCATTAGTGCTCCACTCTTCTTATAACTCAAGTTTGAGTCCAAAGAAGCTCAGCACAGTGCACAGGCTCTGTAGCACCGGCAAAGATCCTGTAATACTTTGGGTAGATTAGTAACTCCAAATTTCACCCAGGCAGCACCGCTAGGCTACTCTTTTCGATTTCCAACTGGCAAGGGATTTTTTTTACGTGCGCAACAATGCACATGGGCATCCGATCTCACTACCCAGAGACCAGAGGGAATTAACTAGAAGTCCAAATCCAGGTGAAAAAATCCCAGCCCTTACAGGGAATTGAACCCGGAACCTCTAGCATTTGAGGCGGACACCATGGTTCAAGACCATGCAGCCCCCCTAACTACTGATTGACACAGCCCTGTTATAGTTGTGTATCCTTTACAGGACATTGCAGAACCAACTTCAGCATTTTATAGCTGTTGTGGTTTGTCTAGGCAAATTTATGTCCAGTAAATGTATGTAGGTACTGATATATTGCCATATCTGCAGTAACCTGTTCTCGAAAAGTATATTTAAAAGCCGCTGGTTCTAAGTGTGCCTGCGAAGTATTTAGGAGGCCTGGAAGTGAATATATGAACTGAATATAGCATTCAGAGGGTTTCTTTATGAACCCAATAGCTTTTTTTTTTAAAGTCAGACTGATTTCAAAATTTTCTGTAAACCTCAGTGATGGAGGTCAAGGCAAGAGCCACCTGATACATATTTGTTTTAAGCCTCGAGGAATGCATTCAATTTAATGCTTGACTCCGTTCATATTTAATTATTAACCCCTTTATACATCTTTACATATTTCAAAACAAACTTTTAAAAAATGTAGATAAAAAAATTTTAAAATTATTAAATAGATATCTGTAAAATGATTGTCTTTTGAACGATTTTTGTCCTGAAATTCAGATGGATTTATGACCCACTTTTTTTTTAGCATTTGCGAGAGGCAAAATGTGAATTCAACTGTTTCTCTCCCTATAGACTGTGTACTGTTGAACAGAAAACTTTGGGTTTTGCTTACTTTATTTTCTCCTTCCATGCAGCTGAGTGCTTGATATGCAAAGACAGCAGTAAGTGACTAAAGAAATCAGATAATTAACTCTCCCCATGTGGGTTCTGGGGCCTCATTGTGGGGAAAACAAGAACAGACCCACTGCCTCCCCAACAAGCATGCTGTGAGAGTCAACTAATTGGTGGCTTCCTTCAAAGTTGGAGCAGAGAACCAACAGTGTGCATACAAATAAGCCAGATCTGTAAAATGGATGTGAAGGCAACTAAGTTTCTGTAACATCCAGAACCTTCCGCCAAAGAAAAAAAAAAAAAAAGAAAACTTGAAAAAACTCACATCTTGAAATATTTCTCTGGAGCAGTCTGCTGTCTGGATAAATGTAGTGTAATTGTGAAAGGCTAGGTCTTGGGTCTCAGCCAAAATCTGTGCTTTTTCCTCTGCCAGTCTATCTGGCTCTCGTGCTGAAAACACAATGCATACAAACATATATTTATCTATACTCCTCCGTCTCTGAAAGAGAAAGAGTGAAACAAGAATACATACGTATCTACGTGTGTGAATGTGCGTGTGAGGGAGCATGTACGTATGTGTATGTAATACTTATTAAACACTACACCCTTTTCCCGCTGACTTTTTTTTGTTTGTTATTAAGTTGATATATAGAAAAATAATTTAACATTTTCACCGTGATTTTTGTGTGTGAACGGACAAGCAACACCATCAACCTGCTGCGCCATTTATATGTTAGAGGGCCAGTAGTATATATATTTCTCCATTTCATTCTAAGAGAGAAAGACAATAAGTAAGTCCCAAATGGTTGTTTACCTAAAAAAAAAAAAAATTTAAGATGATAACAACTTGAAAACAATTTATTTTTACACAAACACTGTCCCTTTACTTTACAACATAATTTCCACCAACACTGATACACCTGTCCCATCAGTCCTTCTAAACTTGATGCATAAAACTGTGTGCTCTGTTTTCTAAACCACTTTTTCACTTCATATTCAACTTCTGCTTCATTTGTGAAATGTTTCCCACCATAACTGAGACATA